TACTAGTAGCGATGCCCTTGTTACTAGTAGCTTCTAGCTACTAGTAGAAATGCAGTAGCCACTAGCAGTGTCCTTGCCACTAGTAGGGATGCCCTTGTTACTAGTAGCTTCTAGCTACTAGTAGTAATGCCCCAGCCACCAGCAGTGTTCCTTGCTACTAGTAGCGATGCCCTTGTTACTAGTAGGGATGCACTCCTGGTTCATATTCTTAAACTTGGTTGGCCATTTTGTGCTGGGTTTGTTTTTGCAAAGGGCATCATTTGCTAGTGGCACTCTGTGGTTGTTTCAGCTAAGGGTGATTTGGCTGCCTAGAAGTGAAACTTCTCTTTTCAAAGTCACTTTGGGTCCAACAAGTGAGACTTCTTTTCTTTTCCTTTTGCATCTTTTCTTTTCCTGTCTCATTGTTCTTTTTCCTTTCCACTTTATTCTGTGTCCTGTCCTCTTTTCCTTGTCTGGTTCCTTTCTCCTTCCTTCTGTTTTCTGCTGCCATGTCCCGGTCTTAGCCGTTGTTTCCTTTTCCTTGTCCTCTCATTTTCTGTGCCTTTCCTTTCCTATTCCTTGTGCCTTTATCTTTTTCCGTGTCCTGTTCCTTTCCCTTTCCTCTTCTGTTTCCTCTCCTGTGTTTTTTTCCCTTTCTGCTTCCATGTCTTGTTCTTTACCATTTGTTTCCTGTTCCTTTTTCCTCTTCCTTGTCCTTTCCTTTTGTTTGTCTATTCTGTAAAAGCTGTGGCATTCAAAGTGTGCCCCTTTTTTGCTATCTTTGGCTGCATTCTATCTTCCAAGAAATCCTGGTGTTTACCTGCAGTTTCGAGATTTGTCAACATTCACACTCTGGACGAGCATTCTAACTGGTAAGACCCTAGCATTCCAACTGTTCATTTCTCTGCACTAAAAAATCATGGGAACGGGATTCTTACATCCGATGGAAAAATCTTGAACAAAAATAGGCATTCTATCTTACAGTCCGCCGGTATAAACGTGACAAATTACCCAATGACTCCGTCGATTGAGCTGAACTGTGCTTGGAGGACCTCTGGATGAAAGCCGATTATGTCCTGCTCTTAGCACATTTTACCTTGAGAGGGGGCACAGACCTACATACCTACATACCTACACACACACACACACGCACACTTTCTTTTTCCAGTCCTACTCTTTTGCGCTGTTATCTCTTCATCTCTTCAGGTCTTAAGCTTGTTCTACTTGCGCCAGGTGCCGCTCCTCGGGCTGCGATTAGACTCAGACTGACGCCAACTTATTGCCCCAAACAGGTGACGAGCGGTCAGCCCCTGCGTGATTGCAACTTCAATGGGGCAGTCAGAAGCTGAGCTTTGAGGGCTTCCACAGGGGCTCTGATGTTTTCTGATGTCGTTTTGTCCCAGAGTCAGCTTGGTGCAGTGAAGGGGCTTTGGATGGTGTGGGGCGATTTCTGAGTGTCTGTGTGTGTGCTCCAGGCCATGTTCACTCCCTCGAAGGTCTACCGTGGCCACGTTGGGACCTTGGGGAGTGTTCTGGATTTCGACCTTTGAGGGGTAAGTAGCGATGCCCTTTGCTCCTAGTAGCGATGCCAGGAGCCCCTAGTAGCTTCTTGTTCCTAGTAGTAAGGCCAGGAGCTCCTAGTAGCGAACATTGCTCCTAGTAGGGCCAGGAGCCCTTGTAGTGTCCTTGCTCCTAGTAGCGATGCCCTTTGTTCTAGTAGCTTGGGTAGCTATTAGACAGAGATGCAGAGCTCAGGCTTCTTCAAGGAAGCTCCCCCCTGCACTCGGGGGAGCTTCTTTGAGGAATCGATTTGGTTCCTAGATTTTCAGGAAAACTTAACATGTCTCACGTGTGTGGAGGATTGAGACCTTGCATTTCGAAAACCGTTGCCTGTCAGACTGTCGTCGCAGAGCCATGAGTTTTCTCAAAAGCCTGTACACGGTTTTAGAATTGGAGTCCTCTGAGGAGGAGGCAGAACAGCCTTCCAAACGAGCTCGATGTGAGGAACCTGAAGCATCCGCCAGCCCCAGCCATGGAGCTTCCACGAGCGCTTCGCCTTTGTTTTTGAACAAGCTTGAGGAGTCTGAAGATCACAGTGGCTTGATGGATTCGGAAGAGGGTAGGAGGGTAGCAGGGTTTCATGGATTTATGTAAGGGGTTTCAACTGTGAGTCTTTCAAGATTGGACTTGAGGTGACGAACTCAGCTTGCAACAGATCTTTGAAGAACATCCCCTTGGAAACTCAGCCGCGCTTCATGCGGTCCTTGTGAACTTCATGATTGACTTGCCATGGGTGTGCCGGGAGTGTCCATCTTTGCTGTCCGTCCCTCGCCTGACTGTCGTTTATGGGGATGGTGGTGATGCCAGCAGAGAGATTCAGAAGCAGCGGATTCAGAGAGATCCAAAGTTTCTCACGAAACTGCATTCACCTCCACTGCCTTTGCAATGGGGAACGCATCACAGCAAGATTGCCTTGCTCATCTATGAGAACTGCTTGCGCGTTTGCATCCGCACTTTCAATGATGTTTTCCCTGATGTTCATCAAAAGTCCAACGCCATGTACCTTCAAGACTTTCCTTTGTTGGAAAGCAATGCTGCAACGGCTGCAACTGACAACTTCGGCGCCGATTTCCGACAGCAACTCTGCAAGTATTTTGGAGAATCTGGAGGTTTTGACCCTTCAGAGCTTGAGCGCTACGACTTCTCATCTGCTGCTGTGGCCATCGTCTCTTCAGTTCCAGGTTATCACTCCGGTCCCGCTCTCTTGGATTGGGGCAGTTTGCGTTTGAGAAAGCTGCTGGAACGGCATGCGAAGCCATTGAAAGACGTGGAGGGCGAAGGGATTATTTGCCAGGCAAGCTCCTTTGGGAACCTTCCCAAGAAATGGCTTGAGGACCTTCATGGGCATATTTGCCGCAGCTTTTTTTGACGAGTTTAGTGAAACAAACGTCTTGAATGATAGGTGGCCTGATAGGTTCAGAATCTACCACTTTATGCCTTGTACTAAGATTGCAATCTTTATCCTTTGCATCGCAGTTTTCCCTTTGAAGGACTTCCACAGCAGTCTGTCTGCCTCACAGCAACTAGGGCCCAAGCCACCCTTGCAGATGGTCGCTCCCACATTGTCACAGATCCGGGATAGCATTGAAGGCCACCAAGCCGTCGAGATTTGGAGATTCAGTGGGTCTTGAGATGGCCTGCTTGTGTTGGAACTTAAGTTTCCCCAAAACATTAGAGCATGAGCTATCCTGCGTCCAGCAGATAGAAGCTAACTTGTAGCCTAGTAGCGAACTAGTCTCCTCTCCCTTACTTAATCAAGTAGGTAGTCTCTCCTTGATTAAGTGGGGAGGCGCGGCCTACCGGCCCCCCACTCCAAAAAGATATGCAAATTGTTCCCAATTTTCGGAGTGCAGGCTGGGTCTCCAGCGTGGCCTTGTTCATCTCCAAGGCCACGGTCACCAGCTACCAGGCGCTCTGGCGCCGCTGGGGCCCGAAGACTGGAGATCCGCGATGGAAGTTGAGGGCTCAGGCCTTGTTAAGTCAGCTTTGGAGTATGTGAGTTTGTTTTGGTAGATATTTGTAGCCATCATTAGCCATTGACCAGGCAATGACGCTCTCCAAGTGAGAGAAATCGGTTTGCCTGACAGGCAATGCCACATGTGAAGACTTATTGTCGCTATGGCCTGGGCCCCAGGGGGCCTCGCCTGTCTTGGCTCTACATCGGCTCCCACAACCTCTCGAAGTCTGCTTGGGGCGAGGTGCAAAAAGCGGGCACGCAGATTTGTGTGCGCTCCTATGAAATGGGAGTTCTATTCTTCCCTTCCAGGTTAGCGCTGCTCGAAAGAGATCCAAAGAAGGGCTTCTTCTTGAAGTCAAAAGCCTTATCAAATTCTGCAAATCCTTCAGACTTTGTTCTGGTGCCTTCACCACTCAGTCTGCCTGGTGACACTGGTGATGGGACTGTGCCCATCGCCCTCCCCACGGCGGTACCGCCAGCCGCTCCGCCTGAGCCCAACGACCCCATCTGGTCGCGTGACTGGGCGCCGGAACTCTATGCGCGTAGCGGTCTCGACCGCTTCGGCACTAGCTACGGTGAGCGTGGGGCCGAGTTCTATGGTTACCGGGCCTTGGTGCGGCACAAAAAGGTATGCCTCCAACCTAAGAGCGATGGCCTCCACCCTAGAAACGATGGTGAACTGGGCCGTTGGTACCTAACAACGGTACATAAGCATACCTAAAGCCAGTTATCTTAACAACTCTACTTGGGCACGTTGAGTCGCTACGGATTTTGTTGATGGGTCGCAGACAAGACAAAACTTTCAACCTTGTAGCCCTTTTTCACGTACCATTTGCTTTACTTGTTCAAACTCCCGATACTGATAATGTCCGCCTATTGACCCCTGTCCTAGCACAAGCACTGGTACAATAAGGGCCGAATCTGGGGCTTTGCCGATGCAGAAGCTTGACCCGGGCACTATGCAATACCTAAAACCCAGTGATGCACTGGAACCAGCAGAGTGCACAGGTTTGACATGGTTTGACATTGTCAGTCACACACCCAAAGCACCAATGAATCCGATCGGTGAACCTTACTTACAGGTATGGCACATGTGGTGGTGCATGAGCACATTAGGAAACTGCATCATTCTGAGGACACTGTTTGCATCGTCACCAAGGACCTGCTGTTAGCCGCAAGTGACAGCTGCTGTTTCTGAATCCAAGTGTGCTTTGGGCAGGACCCATCAACCACCGCCCTATCGGAGGAGGGTTATCAGACAACTCTAGAAGAACACGACGCTGAGAAGGCCTGGCGAAGTTTGGTTCGGTACCTGCCTGTTGTCTCGACCCTCAAAATGCTTGACTAGGTGGCCATCTTTGTTCAACGAGAAGTGGAAGACCTTAAGATGCAGGTGGTTTGTCTTTTGGGAAATGCTTGTGCTACTTGAGAATTGTTGAGTCAAAGCCCTTGATTAGACAACGATTCCCAAGGTCACAAACTCCTCAGCTCTGAAGTCATTTGCTGAAAAGCCACCTGCGCACTTCAAAGATCTCAAGGAGTGGTCTTCAAAGATCTCGTCACTTTGTGTCCCTTAGCGCGGATGGTGTGACTTGCAGTGTGGTAGGGATTGCTTTGAGATTCTCCCCAGTTGCTTCGATTAACCACACAATTCAACAGCAATCGAAGACAGTTTCCCCCTCGTGTACCTGGCAGGGTACCATGTATCCATGTATCTGGCTGCAGCAGTAGCACGCATATGGCATTCCTAGATTCTGAGGACCAGCTTTCTCAAATGCCTTGGGTGTGTGGCGGCCCATCAGGAAGAAATTGCTAGGAGGCCCAGAAGGCCAGACGCGCTAAGGCTTAGGCTCCACAATTCAATTGTATGTTCAGCAGAAAGACTCAACATTTCAACATTCTTTGCAGCACGGTTTGCAAATATGATGCTGCGATTATATGTATATGATTGTATACGTATAGTGATGAAACGATGCAAAGCAAATGGATCATGGGCTGGGCTGGTTGTGGAGGCTGGTTGTGTTCTTTTCAGTGGAGAGTTTAAGTTTAGCTGAGTGAGCTTGTTACTGTTTCCTGCCCAGCACCCTAAGATGTGAACCGGTGGCAAGGTACGCCCAATATTGCACTTATTGAAGTACACGCCCACCAAAAGTCAGAATGTTTGCTCCTCCACATGTTGGCTGATTGCTGCTTGAGGTCCAAGTCCGATCAATCCATCTGGCGGTGGTGCCTCTGCCTTGGAGATAGGTGCCCTCTCGGGGTTCGGTAAGGAAGATTGGTCCTGGTAGAGGCTTGTCTGACATAGGTGATATCTCAGGATGTTTAAGTAAGGTTGCAGTTTCAGTCTTAAGCTACAGAGAGTGCCGTCAACTCATTTTGTTTCTTTGTCTACCGATTGGTATGAGAAAAGACATGATCTCTCACAGCGAAAGCTGTTCAGCATGCAACCCGCCCCCGCCTCGAGCCATTTCTCAATACGAAAAGGACGGTGGAGGACGCTACTAGGGGCTCCTAGCATCGCTACTATATAGTAACAAGAAGCTACTAGGGGTAGGCCTTTGAAGGTGGATTCTTCAAAACATTTTTTTGAAACGATTAACTTTCAACAGACGCAGATAGAAGCAGCTCGCAACGTGTCATAACTTCAGAGCTCACTCATGACCGGAGAACCTGAAAACTGCGGTAGATGTCGACCAGACCGGAGGAGCCCGCCTGGCCCCCAAGGGTATCTTCAATCAGTTTTTTCCTCTCTCTGATGGTTCATAGGGTTTTTTTACTGAGATGATGTGCTGTGCTTTTTGAGCTGTTTGGCCATTGCTTCTTGCTCCGCTTCTTTTTGGACAAGACTGGCCTGCGCAGGTTGCCATGTGTATCTCCCAAGCAGCCAAAGGCAGGAAACCATGGAGCAGTTGTGCTGATAAGGAAGATGTGTGTTCATGGAACGTCAAGAGAAGTGCACTTTTTGCATGGATGTTTTAGCTTCATCTCCCTACGTTGCTTGCAGAATCATTCCCAGACTCAAAGAAGTCTGGATGGTCAGCTGCAGAGTGGAAAGACAAGGCGCGGTCAGCCGGAATCAGCTTGGGAGAGTTTGAGTCCGTGTTTGTGTCAACTGCCTCTCCAGGTTGACACCGTTGGCTCCGGGCAAGCTTTCTTGAGCGAGGCGGCAGCCCTACGTTTTTTGCCGAAGAAGCTGTGAGAGGATTCCTTGTGAAAGTCATGCTCAAGATCCACTTGCGGGTCTTGGCTTGCTCTCATGCAACATAGCTTTCGATTGCTGACCTTTTCTCAGGAGGATTCCCTGTGGCGCGAGAATCGCCAGCTCCGATGCGAGGCACTGTTCTGCCCGACTTTGATACAGCAAGACCATTGCTAACTTCTCGAACCAAATCGATTCCTGATTTCCTTCTAGTTGCCTTGATGAACAACTGGCATGTACCTAGCTTCGTCTCTTCATCACTGTCTTTTTGAGGTCCAATCCTGGCAAGAGGAAGCAGCCGCACGGCAGAGGGAGACCACTGAGCTCCGCCTAGAGGCTGGTCGGCAGTGGACACAGGGCTGGAGGGCCGAGTGAGGCCCGTTGGCTGTTCGGGAATTCAACTTTTCAAGTCAGGACACTTGATTGATCAACATAAAAGCATATATGTTGCTCGATCAATGGTCGGACACTTTGCGCAGGTTGTTCTTAATGAAACAGCTTCGTTTATCGTTCCGCTTGCCTTTTGGGAGCACTTTGGCATACCATAAGTCTCTGGACTCGAGATCTGCTGAAACTCAGCCACCACTTTTGGCATCCCGCGGCTGTGCTTTCCTTTCCCTTCAACGTCTGGCAGGTTGCGCAACTTCAAGCAGAGCTGCATGTTGGGGGCTTAGACACCTGAATGTACTAGGAGCAAGAAGCTACTAGGGGCTCCTGGCATCGCTACTAGGAGCAGGGACGCTACTAGGGGCTCCTGGCCGTACTACGAACAGAGCAATGTTCACAACATTCCTCAGATCTTTCGCACCCGCGCAATACTTGGCTTTCACATCACCAAGGCCGAGCGGAACACGAGGCAGATGCTAGCCCAAGCAGAGGCACAGGCAGGTGCCATGTGACTTGCTGGAACAAACAATTTGCTCCTCTCAGGAGTCTTGGAAGATGGCTTTCCTCTATCATCTTCATATTTGGTGGAGTGTTTTATTTTGTGTCGTTGTTGTCATCTGCAAGGGAGGTGCTACTTCCTCTTCCAGTGTTTTCAGGGACAGCTCCTTAGAGAGGCGATGGAAGTTGGCAAAGGTGACTGTGAGTAGCTAACCATAAGAATCTACAAGATCTTTGGGTTATGGCGAGTGGAGCCAAGGCAGCCAAGGAGAAGATGCCTTGTGCCAACCTTGGGAGAGAACTGTCTTGAAAAGATTGAAGGGTAGATCCACTGCTCAATTTTTATTGTCACTGTCAATTTCAGTATCTATCCCTTTCAGCAGTGCGAGACTTGTATATAGGCGGCCTGGATAGCGACTGGATAAGAGCCAAGCGCCTCTCCTCCGCTGCCTGGACTGCTTGTGGCCAATGGACGTTGACATGGAATGACATGGGCTGGATTCGTGGGATCCTAATGCGAATCCAGGAGGACTTGTGATGTTGTCATTTCTTCATGTTCACCGATTTCTACATGTTTTCCTTGCGGGCTGCGCCATCTTGACGCACTCAACAGGCCGACGTGCAGTTTCCAAAGATGAATCTTTTGCCATTCCATTCTGTAGATTGGCCACAGCTTGTTGCAGGATGGATTCACAACGAGGTGTGGCCCAATCAGCTGATCTTGCAATCATGCTCCGAGCCCCAGACGGCACCACAGCCAGGCCGCGGTTTTGTTGATCTGAAGGCCCCAAGTTGGGTGTGGTTTCAAACAAAGGGAACTAGAAACTCCCAAGCAACGGGCTCAGGTGGTTTTGAAAACACGCAGAGGAACATGAAGCTGTGAAGCCCTATGCAAGTGGTTCTTCCCCGACCTGAGGGCGACGCGACATGCTGAAGAAGTGGTGGAGCTTCAATTGCAGCACTCCAGGGCCTTGCAGGACAGAAACGGGAGCGGCTTTTGCCGCTAGGAGCTGAAAGCCATTTTGACATGATCTTTTATTTCGTAACAACACAATAAACCAACGAAACAACAACATAATACAAGAGATGGTTTTTAGGCCCAAACACGTTCCTTTTATTTCTCACCTGCCGGGTGAGGGTTGTTAGAATTTATCCTCACATCATCACAGCTGTCTACTCCCTTCCTTCGTTCTGTTGATGTTTCAAAAATCATACTCAGGGTCTTCACTCCCCACAATCATGCTTTTCAATATTTTTCAATTCCTTATTATTTTCGGTCCGTGTGCATCTCATTTGCTAGGAGATGCAAAGCCAGGCAGATGTCTTTCTTGGCCGTGCCAAGTTGGCCGAGGTGCTGTCAAACCCGGGTGTCCACATACTAAGCATTACAATTGCGATCTTTGTGAACCATAGGAGTTTTAGAACCTTTTAGAACTTTGACACGTTGTGAGCAACAGCAGTTTCAGCTTTTGAATGGACACTTTGGCACATGGCCCTCGTCTTCAGCGTGGGACAATTCTAGCGAGGATGCCTGTACTTTGCTTCAGCGGAAGCAGGCCCGGGTTGATGTGGTGTGAAAACTTGATGCTGGAGAGTGCTCTGTGGAAGACCATGTCTTCCAGAAAACAATGAAAGGGTTTACCAGTTTAGCAGAAATGTCAGTCACGGTCGTGAATCGTTGTTGTAGTTGAACTTGTGAGCTGTTATAGTGTGCAGCAGTGCAGTCAGTGTGGTGAATCTCAAGTCAAGCTTCTCGATACTGCCATAAGTGCAGAGCACAGCAAACCAGTGACATAGAGACACTGATTGCACCTCCAGCACTTTTCTGGAACACCGTTTCCGCTTGAGAGAAAATCAAAAGTTCAGATGAACATCATCTTGGTTGGCAGGGCGTGCGCATATACAAAATAGATACTTTGGTTGACAATCACTACACTTTGGATGTGGGAAACTTTGCATGCCCCGAAGGTGCGACTCGCCTCCATGCTGGATTCACTCTTCAAGGTGCTGGTTGATTTGCCACGCCTTCGAGTAGTCCTGCAAATGTTAGAGGTCAAGAGAGTATGTGGTATCTAGCTAGGGGTTGTTCTGCTTCGCAAGCTCACCTGCGCCTAGACCTACATTAATCTCATGAGGGATGTTCGTCTTTGTGCTCACAATACCACTGCTTTGAATGGACATGACATTCTCCACCAACCCTGTCTACTTGCTCTTTTCTCTGGGTCTTCAATCGCTCCGGCTGCATATGACTAGCGCCCTTTGTATGTAATCTCCTGCCCTCTTCTTACTGCATCGAAGAGGGATGAGGGTGGCCTTCCTGGCAGCAACACTATCCGACGCCACAGGTGCGCCAGGTGGCTTGGCCATTCTTCCTTTGGCGAAAGGCGAGGCGCAGGTTTTCTATATATTAAACTAAAAATGTAGGATTTCGCTTCGCTTCTTTCGCTTCTCTGCGTCAATGACTTGGGGACCAAACCTGCATGTTCTCGTGGACCAATCCACCCGAAATGCATCGAGTCTGTTGGGAGTTTGGGAACGCCAAATTGTTTCTGACTACATTGAGCTACGATGACTGCGAGGCTGTCTTCAGGGCAACTTGTGCGCAACAAAGCTCTTCTTTGGTTGAATGTCCAGAGCTTGGGACACGGAAGTAGTTATATTAACGTTCAACTTGGTAAAGGATGTGTTATGTCTGTGTGAGTTGAGTAGAAGCCGATTCCGCAAATTCATTGCCGTGCTGCTGGAGGTGCAAAGTGGCAGGCACTGCAGCGTGTGAGAAACCCAGCCTTTTTTGCATGGCTTCCGAGCCGAAGGGCAGCCACGCCAGCAGAGCTGTCACTGTCATTGCTGTCCTTTAGAGAATGATGCCAGTTCATTACTCAGGAAGCAGCAAGACGGTACTTGTATAATGTAACTTAGATTCACCTGGATCTACTAGCGCACAAGTTGTACAATGTAACTTAGATTCACCTGGATCTACTAGCGCACAAGTTGCACAAGTTTTTTGAATCTACTTTGAACTCACATCCAAGGGGAGTTGAAGAGTCACCAATGTTAAGACTGAGGTCCAGTCCTTCCTAAGCATCAGTGAGCAGACCTTGCTCTGTTTTGCTGGCGGCTTAAATGTTGAAAGGTCTTGTTGAGTTGCTTTGGAGCAAACTGCTCGACTGGGGACAGCCATGCAGACCGAGTTGGCATTTCACTGTGGATTTGCCAACCAGGTGTTGCATGTATTGCCATGATCCGGAGGTCTTGATGAACCACAGATGAACTACTTTGGTTGGACAGATTCTGAAACAATTGGATCACATCACATCCAGCTTTCTTTGCTTTCACTCTCCAGCAGTTCTTTTCGGAGACTAGCCAGGGAGCATTGTTGCGGCTCCACATTCATCATCGTATGTAAGTCAGTTGGTTGTTTGTTAAATCCAATCCATCCAGTGCATCCAATCCAACAAAGACGCCTTGAACCCAGACCACTTCCAAGCTGCAATCTGCCCAAACGTTTAATGTTTGTTTCTTCAAGGAAATTGATCTTACTTGGAAGGAAAGGTACCTGAGCAAACCACTTCCTTTCCATTCATGAAGCTGTAGACGGTAGACAGGGGAAGACCCCACTTTTATATAGAAGGCACAGACACCAATTTGTATATGTTTGCACTAGCACTAGTTCTTTATTTGGTCGATTTGCGTTCACAAACCAAGGTTCTCCTATTTTGTTTCGCTTCCCTGTTTCTGGACCTTGGATTGCCCCCCCGCACGATGCCAGTTCCATCAGCGGTTGGATTGGTCGCTTCGAGGCCTTTCAGCTGTGGCTGGCAGAGTGGCACTTTGAAAAAGGCCTCAAAGGGTCATGCCAGGACTTCGAGGCCCGGAGCTACTTTGCGATGCCCTTTGCTCCTAGTAGCAAATTGGCTACTAGTAGTATGGCCAGGAGCTACTAGTAGCTTCTTGCTCCTAAAAGGCAACTTCGAGGCCCCTGGGGAAGAATTGCCTTCCACTACAGTCTATCAGATTTTTTGTAGGTCTATCAGTGTCTTGCTTGTTGCCCGGTGTGGAAACCAATAATGCGAGTCCCGGCCGTAAGTGGATAGTTGCGGGTGCTTTTGCCCCAGATGGCTGCCAGGATCTAGGTCTCAGCGAGGTGTCATCTTGATTTGCACTTCTAGCAACCAACAACAAGTCCATAGTCCATAGCCTACAAGAGAAGTGCCTTTTTTTCTGTTAAAGTGCAGGATAGTGCAGGAGAGAAATGCAAAAAGAAGCGGTCATATCCTCAAACAAGTACAGAGTGTAAACGGAGATCACGCCCTCGAACAATTAAGTACATACTGCTATTTGCATGTCTTCTGAATGTACGTGTTTCAACTGTATTATGTAGGATTTGTTCTATGCAGATGGGTTGTTAAATCTACCAGAACATGACCAGAGGATCACCAATCCTAGGAACCTGGCCTAAAGTGGAGATAGGATTTGCACAGGTCACTACAGCTGGCCAGTATTGTTTGAATATTCCCGTCCATCCACAGACCCTGGACTGTGTGATGTCCTCAAACTGTTGTATTCTGCCTTCAACAGGTTGCAGGGCACAACCTATGGGATCCTCTCCATGCCGCACGAACGTTTTGACTCGGTCCTGACCATGGGGAGGACGATTTCATTCTTCTCCTGTCAGGTGCAGCTTCAGGAGCTTTCTGCTCAGCTTCAACGTGCTGAGGGTGCGGTCACGCTGGGGGCATCACTGACTGCTGTGAGGACCAGATACAAGTTGGAATGATGTTGAAACTCAAATCAAGAGACCTTGAGACCTTCTGAAACTAGTTGTTGGTCCACTAAGACCAGGGGTCGGTGATCATTCTTTTCAGTTGTATTTTTCACCAGCTTGTTGGGAGACATTGCACTTTAGTGTTTTTGACCCTTTTTGTCGTCTCATTACACGGGCACGGAAACATGTCACACAAAACAAGCGCCAGGAGGATCTTGAAGCCCTGCTTCCGAGCGTGGGAGCGGCTTCTGCAGCAGCATCGGGTGGAGAAGATCCTCCAATGTGGCAGAGTTGGGGGGCCATGAGTCGACCGCAGCGTCGCGAGATTGTGCTTTTGCACGGAAGCAGTGTAGTGAATGTAGTAGTGAGGTGTAGTTGGGAGAACAATTTTTCTTGGAAGTCAAATTTACAATGGCCAAGGACCAGCAGGCTGCTTGGCGGCTGGAATTCTTGGACATGATGTTTCTCCAGAGCGAAGAGGTTGGATAATCGAAGATCACGAGCTATAGTGACTAAGGCATAATTTTCCAACTTTTCATTTTCTAGTTGGCTATATAACATTCTAGTCAGCATACATACCTATATACATGTATTTGCGCATCATTTTTTCATCAGTATCACACAGCACATCGTGAAGGCAATTAAGTTCTCTAATGCCAGGACAACTGTGCAATGCTGATGATCTTGTGTTGGCAAGTTGGAAACCGAGTGGATGAGACGAAGGAAAACGACTGCAGGATTGCCAAAATCGCATGATCTTCTCTTCCAATCCTGATTCCGTCAGATTTCATTTATAGGTCTCCGGATAGGAGGCTTTCCGCATCAGTGGATGTCATGGCCCTCCCATGGTTGGTGCCACGGAGATTTCTGCAGCATTTGCAGCAGCACAACAACACCTTGAAGGAAAACCAGTCGCAGCTCCGTGCCTTTCTGCGGTCCTGTCGGCGGCCGACCAGGCCAAGCGTGAGGGTTAATGGACTGAAAGCACACCAATCCAGGGTGACTAGAGAATTGGCGTCACTTGGTTGGAGCTTGGAACCTGTGAAATGGTGCAGCTCCGGATGGTTTCTCTCAACAGATTCAAGCAGAAAACAGCCGATTGGCCGGAGCCTACCACATTTCTTGGGACATGTTTACAGCCAAGAAGCTGCGTCTATGCTGCCAGCAGAAGTTTTGAAGAGTCTCCTAGCAGAGTTTCGCTCTGACTTGCTGGTACTAGATCTTTGTGCAGCTCCTGGTGGAAAGTCAATCCAACTTTCTGAGGCTTTGCAGGAGTGGGACCAGTGCCCCTTGGACTCTTTTTTCCACCAAAACCGTTGGGACCTGGACACATGGATTGGACAGATGTTTCATGATTCCATCGTTTCCCTTCGGTGTCGGGCGTAGTGTGTCGGGCGGATACTTGGGCCAAGCGGGGCTGTTGACCCAGAGGGCTGTTGACCCGGAGGGTCTTGGTTCCCGCACATGATGCTGAGGTCCCAATCCTTGCGTGCACAGAGCTCAAGCAATGACATCTCAGAGTTTTCCTCGAATGCTTTCATCCAGAATCCATACTCTTCCTTCCTTTTGTTTGCTTCATGTCGCATGACTCTGTTTGGATGCCTTGGAGCCCCTCTACTGTCCTCCAAAAAAGGCCATCACACATTTGATGTTTGCAGACTCCCAATCCTCTGGGTCAAGGAAACGGCAAAAGTGTCAAAAGAACATGTTTCCACTGCTGATGTTGCTGAGCAGTTGTTTGTAGAGCCTAAAGTTCAACACTTCAAAATTGAGTTCTTGATGGCTCTCAACTATAGAATCAAGATCACCTCAAGCGTCTTGTAATTGAAAGGCCAAGTCGACATTGACTGAGGCCACTGCCTTCTTCGGGATTTCAAGGGTGTAGGCTGGAGCTCCTTGCTTCCCCACAAGGAAGACTTGTATAATATATAAGCAGCATGAGCCTCCTCGCAATACGAAGGGCGACTCCGCTCAGGTTTAAGGTTTCCTTGGCAGAGGCGCTGCCCCCAAACCAGATCAGATATGCTTGTGGTCGGAAGTTCACAAAATGATACGTACATATATGTTCAACCCTGAGCACGGGCGCCCCTGAAACAGATTCCAAGCTTGAAAACCTGGAACCTTTCTATATACAAGAAGCCATTAGAAACAAGTGCATCGCTACTAGTAACAAGGGCCTTACTAGTAGTAACAAGAAGCTATTAGAAAGGGATGAAAAAAGGTCTAAAGGTCTAAAGGTCACAAGAAGGGTACCGAGAAGCTTTTTTTCCTTATATATTTCTAATAGCTTCTTGTTACTACTAGTAAGGCCCTTGCTCCTAGTAGCGATGCACTTGTTTCTAATAGCTTCTTGTATATATTCCTATTTATACCTTAGATCTACATTTCCTTATAAGACCGGCCTGAAAGAAAGAGACCCGACTCTGGAGTTGGATCCCTGCAGGACGGCTCATTGCTTGTCGCCAACGACCCACATCCCTTCCGCGCCAGAAGGCTGCGCTACAATCTCCTACGCTGTGGTGCCACACGGTGCCTGGTGTCGGAGCTGCAGGGCGAAGACTTCGGGGAACTTTTGCCTGAGACCTTTGATGCGATCCTCGTGGATGCACCATGTTCAGGGGAAGGGAACTGCCGCAGAGACCGACTGGTCTTGGAGAGATGGAGGTTTCATACGGAAGGTCGAGAAGAGTTGCTGAGAAGACAAGCTAAGCTTTTGTCAAGTGCCTGGTCTGCTTTGAAGCCAGGAGGATACATGGTCTATTCAACTTGCACTTTGAACTATTTTGAAAACGAATTGCAGTGTCAACAATTTGTTTCCAGTGTATTTGACGCGCACATGGTCGACCTCTCCTTGGAATGGGGCAGCTTGGCCGGTGAGCAATCCAGCTACTTGCGCTTATGGCCACATTCCTTCGACACCGAGGGCTTTTTTGTGGCGGCCTTTCGAAAGAGGCCGAATCCGAATGAATTGGTTGGGCCACCCAGGTCGAAGCCTTGCCGCTTCCCTGCTCATCTCCGCTTGTTGGACTGGAGACGTATCAGGGCAGTTCGAGTGATGCTACGTTCAAAAGGTCTCACGTCTCTGCCGTTTTTCCCTGCAAGTGATCAGGTCTTGGTCGAAGATGATCAGATGATTTACCTTTCTCCTCGACTTCCGAATCAGTTGGACCCTCTTTTGGCAACGCTAAAGGTGGCAGGGTTCCCGATCGCCTCCAAGCATGGAGACAAATCGGTCGCAAGCAGGGAACTGTTGGTGTGGGCAGGAGATCGATGTCCACGAGCAAGCGCAATGACAGCTGTGGACTGGGCATCCTTGGAGGTCAGCATTTGTGATACCCTTGCGGCAAGGAACGCTCACATGAGCCTCCTTGCAGCTGAGGGCCGGGCTACGGAAACCTACGAGGCTTTCAGTTGCATGTGTCAGCAGCGGCTTCGACCGGACGGCGCGAGCTTTTCAGCCCTGGTGACGGCACTAGCGCAGGACCGGCAGGAAGTGTTTGCTCACGAAGTGTCCTTGTCCACCAAAGTTCCTTTGAGACGGGAGAGTTTCAACAAAGTGCTGAATGCCTTTGCACTCCAGGGAGATGATGGAAGTGTCCGTGGGATGATTTCGGCCATGGGAGAACGGACGATCGTGCCCGACGTCGTGAGCTTTAACATCCTGCTGAAGTCGCTCGGGGTGAAGAAGGCCATCGCTTCTGAAGAGGAAGCCTTGAAACTCTTGGATGAGATGACATCCCGCTCCGTAACCCCGAACAAGATCTCCTATTCGACTCTGATGTCATGCATGGCGCAAAAGGGCGATGCAAAGTCTGTGGAGAGTCTATTCCACCTGGCCAAGGGCAGCGGGGTCGATGTCGGTGTTTTTGGCTTCAATATACTGATTCAGGCTCACATGTTAGCATTTGATCTGCCGAGTGCACGTGCCGTGATGAGACGAATGCGTGAGGAATGCTTGAAGCCCGATGTCGTTACATACACAACCTTGATGAAGGGGCAGACTGAGGACATCGTCACATCTCTTTTTCAGGAGATGCAGGATGACCTTGTGCATCCTAACTCTGTGAGCCTCACGAATGTGATCTCTACTTTGACCCGAGCTCAACAACTGAACGCAGCCATGGACATTGCTAGCAAAACTGCCAAGTGTGATTTGCACGAAAGGCCACTTTCTTCCCACTTGGCCTGCGCCATTCTCCATCTTTGTGGTCAGGTGGCGGAAGTAGATGGCCACTCCACTTCTGCCACTTCCGCCTTTGCTATCGCTGTGTTTCAGCGAGTGGCAAAGCCAGATGCGGCCTGCCGCCAGGCCTACGCGAAGGTCATCCGCTCTTTTGACGGTGAAAAATCCAGTGACTTCGTGCCACTGAATTCTGGAGCTGTTGCCAGATGTCAAGGTGCTGCGGCGTACTCCGGTTTTCTCAGGTGATTCTCATTGGTGGGCTATTCCGCTTATAGTAGTCAATCGGAGAGTAACCCGTCTCAAAGAAGTATCTACTTTTGTTCTTGCTCGGCACTCGTTCCGTTTGGCCGTTTCAAGTTTGAATCCTGAATAGACAGTGTATATATTTCATCCTGTATTATTTGGAAAAGCTCTGCCACAGTTCTTAAGAAGTTTTCCTCTTCGAAGCTCCCGAACTCAATGTCTTCAGTGCTTGTTATGAATTTGCGGAATGGCTTGAGGCCTGGAGCCAAGCTGCCCGTCTTGGAGCAAGGCTGGTCACTCAAACTCTGCCCAATGAAGCCAGATCAAGCACTGCCGGTAGTTGGTCTTCGTCCCAATGACGGGATGTTCGGAGGTGTGCATGATTGATTCAGATAGACTCTGGCAGGATAAAGTCTGATTACGTATTACTTAATCGAGCTTGAGGACTCAGCCTTTGGGTTGGCTATTTCGCCCAGACTTGGCGCAGGCAAAAAGCATATGATGCTGCAAAGTTGGAACTGCGGAAGGTGCAAAGGCCGGCCGATGTGGAGTGAACTGCCAAAGGAGCTCTCAACTTTGTGATTTCCAACTAGGTATCTCAACAATTCAAACAACCCCTTTCACTGGCTCAAGAATGAGTACGCCTCGCTTTCATCTAATTAAACGCAATCTGGTGACATTGCTTTGGGGCAATCTGGGACCAGCTAGAGACAAACCTGACATCACCTCAAGCCTTTTGACAAGCCTCAGGCGCTTTCAGAAGTTCCAGATCATCGCGGTTGGCGCATCAGCACAGGCACTGATTCCTTCCTTTGAGCGCTTTTTGGTTAGTTGAACTTCGTTGGTTTGCGAGAACCGAGGGGTGTCAGTTAGCCATCTCAACACAACACCAGTGTGAACTTAGACAACTCAGCTTAGCTCAGCTCTGATTGCCTGTCCAGGTTCATCTCATGTTTCTTCTGAGGGCCTCCTTTGTTGGATGGCGCCAACTTCAATGCCTTCAGCTCGCAACACTTTTGCGAGAGGACCTGAGTCTCATCTGCAGTTTTTCAGGTTGCTGTTTTAAGATAAATTCTGGATCAATGAAACGATGTACGTACGAAGAGAACTCATAGACTTCCACTGCTGGTCAGTTGCTCCTTTACTGTAAATCTCAGAGGTGTTTTGTTTCGGATCTCGCCGCGAGGATTCGAGGAATCTCCACTTCTCACTAGCACACCTGTGCCACAGCAGGGACTTCACTGTGAATAGTGCGGGGCTAAGATCTTTGAATTTCTGGGTGATCGGCCACGTGCAAACAATCATGATTGAGCATGCCGCACCGAATCACACCGATTCATGGAAGACATGCAAAAATCATCACACATGCACCCATATCGGAGTTTTTGACTGGATTTGGACTTGTGGAGCCGCCCACTGGTCCATCTATCCTTTCCGGGACCCCCGCACATACACCGCCTACTGTATATGGCATATGGACACAAGTCATCACACAGCGCATGACAGAAGAAATGCAAGACTTTTCGCGACAGCATCTCTTTCATAATCTCCTAGTCAATATGTTTAACCAGACCTGTTTGCACTGAAGGTGCTGAGGCATTTATTTCATCTAGGAATGGTAGCTTTCGCGAGCTTTTGTTCATGTTTGCTATCCTGTTTTGTCCCAGGGTTTTGAGCATGCGTAAGGGTCCGGAATGAGTTCGATTTGTTTGCCATTTTACTCACGAAGCTGATACTATGCATGTCACGGACCACATGCATGCAGGCATTGCAAGAAGGGCCAATGAAAATGCCGTGTTCTTCTGCCTGGCCTTGGTTCTTGCCTCAAACCATGACTGAGAGGAGAGTTGTGAGAGATTTGCAGGTTTCCAGACCGATGTGTGCTGTGGCAAACAGAGCCTGTCCGATTGCAGCTTAGGCATGGACCATCTGGAAGCGGAGCAGCCTGGTCCTCAGAGAAACCAGTAATCAGTAGTTAGTCGGTGGAGAGCTAGCACTGGCACCTTCAAAATGCAAGCCCACATGTGTCACGCATGTTCCTGATCTGAGAAGCTGGAAGAGTACAATTCACTCCAAGATCAAACTCCTACCTCCTCTCCATGTTGGACCTGAGGCTTAGAAGCTGCCATGATCCAGGAAGGGTTGCAATGCTTTTTGGCTTTAGACCTGGTAGTCTTTGATGATTTTTGACGCTACGGCAGACACGACGCACCCGCTGGAATGTTGAGCCTGTTTGCGGGCGGATGCTCACACACACAAGTCGATGCCATACTGCACTTCACTGCAGGACTTTGACGCCGTGCGAACCTTGCTGCTGCAGCTGCAGGACTGGTCGAGCAAACGAACTCATATGAACCTGACCATGTTTCTTTTTGTAAGTGATCAAGCAAAGCAATTCTGGAGGTATGTGGCACGACAAATTCTCACTGGCATTTTGGGATGAGACTCTTGTAGTCCCGAGCTGTGAGCTGGCAGGGAGAGTGGGCTCGGCAGCACGATTTGCAGCAACAGCAGGACAGAGTTTGGCGCTAGAATCAGTCATGTGTTTGAGTGTGAAGGAGGTTTTGTGCTTGGCAGGATTTTGGCGAACAGCAAGCTCATGGCCGTTTGAAGTTGGCGCTGGCGCCTGGCACCAAGTGCTTCAGAAGTTGGGAGTGATGTGATGATTGAGTGACCAGAACCGAAGCGCGCTACTTCTCATGGGTAATGGCAGTAATGGGTGATGTCGAGCCAAGGCTAAACACAGTCGACTCCTCAGAGTGCTGAAAAAACCTCTCGCTCTGGTACAAGATCTTCAAGACATCTTGAAAAATTCATCAAATGCATTGGAGGATGGAAAAGAGAGAAATCGTGGCTTTCTTTGCGAAAGTTTCTCTGTGCGGATAGTTGATCCTTCCTTTTTTCTCTTATGCTATGTGGACAAAGGTCGTACAGTAGCAAAGAATCTGAGCAATCTGCAGGTGCAGCCTCGCACAGGCTTGACCTTTCTTCAGGGTGAACGCTTTGGAGGCTTTAAGAGTCTTTTAGCGACATGGACACCCGAAGCCTGGGCACCTCAAAGTCCTTGGAGAAAGAAGCTGATTTTTGTGCACTTCCTGTCTCAGGGCCTCCATTACCCAGGTGTACTTCCGGTTAGTATCTGTAGGCCCGTCATCGATGGCAGCGACTCTGTGGCTCAAGATGGCGCTGTCGCGACGCGGCGCCCATGGATGGGCCGTCAGCGATGGATAGGACTCCTTTGTGGGAGACCCAACTGACCGGTGGAAAAACGAAGGACCAGCATAGGCCCATAGGCCCTGGCCAGTATCCAACAGGATGGAGCAAAGATATATTTCTTTGAGAATACGGAGTACTGGGAGACTTACTGTATGGTTTTTTCATTTGGACGGTCTATCAGAGTCTATCAGGTACCTGCAGAAAGACAAATTTGGGACTCCATTACCTTGTACTCATTTGGAGATTATTGAGCACAGCCCTCAAGGCCAAGCAGTTTGGTGCCTCCTGAAACTCACCGATGCCAAGGATCGTCACTTGCTGCCGGGGATTTGAACTTTAAATAGAGTCTTCTAGCTTCAACAAACTGTACATATGTACAAAACGGCTTCTGACTTATTGACATGAGGATTCGTTCTACATGGAGAGGTGCCTTTCCTAGCGACTCGTAAATAACCCTGGAACAGCCCCACTGGTTATGCATTCAGGATGTGGTTGGCGGGTGGAAAAGGAAGAGTGACTGCATAACTACGCTCAGTGGTTTTCATATCTGGAACACCTTGGTGCAGTGGTGCAGATGGTTTGCAGTATTGGCATGTTTTGTCATGAAATAATGCATTGCCGTGGCTGTTCCCCTAAGCAGTTTTGGCTCAAGGTCCTCATTTCTTGGTCGAGATATGAATGCCATGTAAGGGCACAACCAGCAACGTCACGTCTTGACGGGACTCTCACTTCAATGTAGTCTTCATGTGCAAGCTCCTTGCAAGTTGTCAAACAAAAGCAAAGCACACAGCTTATGGCCAAGGCCCATGTCGTCTTCCGTGTCCGGGAAATATGACACGGTGATAAAGTCTGGCTTGAAGCTGAAAGGAGGGGATAAGAAAAAAGAAGTGGGTGTGAAGGTGACGAAAAAGAAGAAGAAAACCCAGGAGGATGCCCTGACTGAGCAACTGCAGGCGAATGCAGATCAAGAGATGCAGGAGCAAGCTGAGCTTACAAAGGGCGCCACACAAGGACCCACCACGTCACAGAAAACCTTCCAGCTGGCCAGAGAAAAGCGTAGCAATCAGCGGGTGAATGAGGCCATCCAATATACCCATCGCCAGCGAATGGACAAGCTAAATGCTCACTTGGGTAGCTTGTCAGAGCACTTCGACATTCCCAAGGTTGGCCCTGGATGAGCCAGTTGTGCCAGCTGTCTGAGCTTGCTCATCTTACTTGGCGCCCGTGATTGAAAAAGTGCTTGCAGTTGCATCCGAGGCGCTTGTTGTAGATCGAAACTACATGTTTTCATTGCTGATAAGCAATGGGTTTATGTACCAAGAGTGGCAGACCGGTGCCATCGGTCAGTTTTAGGGCATTCTGGTATCTTGATGTTGAAGCAAAGGCTTGGTGATGGGATCAAATGATCAGCAGCCCACAATAGCCATCCTGTGTCATCATTTCATGTGTTTGCTGCAAGCTTGCTCCCTCTCCATTCCCCTGACCCACCCAGGAGACCACTTTGGCTCCACTGGCATGTGTGCTGCGAGTGGGGAACTCCAGCGAAGAGCTTCATGCCTTCAATGCCGCGGCCAGGACGTGGGGAGTGGCTTGGAGCAGTGGAGTGCACTTGAGAGAACAAAGTCCTAGGTCCTAGAGTTCTCAAAATACAAGCAGGGCAGTAGGGCGGCAAACCTGTGGGGTATTCCCCATCTCTTGCAGGTGGTGCGGGACTTCTTCCTTCAATCAACAGTAGAAACAGCAGCATGTCGCAACTTGCAGGGAACCAGGTTGCTCAGATGGCCACAGCTAAACTTGTGTTGATTCATATTCTTTCTGTCCTAAGGTTCCAGTTATACCTCGGCATCCTTTAGTCGTCTTCCTTCGTGAGGTGAAGTGCCGCTGGTTCTTGGGCTTGGCTTCGACACCTTCCGTCGGCGATAGCGCGCGCAGGCGCTCCCAGTGGCCAAACCTTGTGGGAAGCACAATAGTGAATAGGAATGGCCTCCAACTCCAACCTAATCGCATGGCCTCCACTCTATTTGTCGAAGGGTAGTGATTGAGACCTGAGGCCCTTGGGGTAGCATTTCTTCAGTGGATAGCCACCCGCTCAGCATGTTGCGAGGCTCGTGAATGGAAGCAAAGCTCGAGTTCTACATGCACAGCCGGGTCCAGTTGCCCTGGAGGCAGATACCAGAGATACTACTGCCTCCCAAAAGCCAACCTTTCTTTGGCCAGGTGCTTTTGCATGCTTATCGACATCCTCGTGCTTTTCCCGGTGGCGCCCCTCAGCTCGCATGTGGCTTTGCAGATACGCCGGGGTCTTAGCTGTGCTGTAAGCTGCTGCTACACCATTTCCCGTTCAGCATACTATCTATGACCATGTCATGTCTATGACCGTACTATCAGTCCAAAGTCAGTCTGTTCCAGTACTGTTCCAGCTCATCACTGCCACAGCCTCACAACCCACCGACGCACCAGAGGTTCTTGTTTCCCGTGCTGGAAAACTTGATGCCCCACTTTGCGAAGGCCGTGCCTTGGAACCACTTTCCTCAACCACTTTCCTTTCAACATTACAGGCAGTTCGCGGGATTGGAAGCCCTTCTCACCGGTGAGTGAAGTATTTAAGCTCAAATTCCTTACAACTACTCACTTGAAAGCAGGGATGAGAAAAAAGGACGTACAGGAGTCACAAGTACTTTTCTTACATTTGGCTGCGTGTCAGGTCAGACGAGAGCTGTATTTCTCGGCAATTTGCGGATCGCGCATTCTGTGCCAAGTGACAGGCTTAGACAACATGCTTCATTCTCGCAATAGTCTTGCATCCATTGGATAATGAAGGAAGTGTTCGGGTGAACAGCAGAGCTTAGACTGTCACAACCAGTGCCGCCCTGGCAACTTTGCCGCTGTCCGCAGCTTTGGCAACCATACAGGCCAGGCTTTAAACCATTTGGGTGAGGGGGGATGTTTGGCAGGTGTTCTGTGTACTGCATATCTACATTGTTATGTGTATGCAGCACTGGGGCTATGCAAACGAGTGGGATATGTGTCTGCTCCAGGAACAAGCAATGCGGCTTCCTTTGTGTGGCCAACGTGCAGAACAGGTGCCTGAGATGCATCGGCAGACAAAAGTTTCTTGTTGCTGAAGTCAGTCTGGGTAGACATTGGAAGGAGAAACATTGGTAGCAAACGGTGAACACAGTCGCTCGTTCTTGGGCATCAAGCAGTGGATTCGAAGCAGCCAGTGGCTACAGTAAGGCCTGTGCCGGAGGTCTCGGCAGCACTCGCCTCAGAATCAGTCCCCTTTCAATCACTGAATTGGCCCCCTAAAGGCCCTAGTGGCTTCTTGCTCCTAGTAGTAAGGCCAGGAGCCCCTAGTAGCGTCCTTGCTCCTAGTAGTAAGGCCAGGAGCCCCTAGTAGCGTCCTTGCTCCTAGTAGTAAGGCCAGGAGCCCCTGGTAGCGTCCTTGCTCCTAGTAGTAAGGCCAGGAGCCCCTAGTAGCGTCCTTACTCCTAGTAGTAAGGCCAGGAGCCCCTAGTAGCGTCCTTGCCCCTAGTAGCGATGCCCTTTGTTACTACTACGTCCTTCCTCCTCGTAAAAGGCCCTCCAGGTGCAAGATTCACCAGCTGCATCTGAGGGCCACAGTATCCAAGTGTACTTCATGTAAGAGGGGCGAGTGGACATTACAGCCTGAGCCTGAGCATTCTGCACCAAAGCTATGAAACGTTTTCTAACGGAGCAAACCATCAGAAGATTTGATCTAGACACGGTACCGGCTCAGGCTGGTTTGCGCATCTTTATTTGGCTTGGCCAACTTCTCCAAAGCAGTGCAGGAGAAGAGCCGAAGAACTGATCCAACAGATTTGGAGACTCGAGTGGACTACAGGACTGATTCTCCAATTGCAGCCCGTGGCTATGCTCCTCCCGGCAAGGGCAAGCCTTTCAGAGTTGCTGTCACCAGGCTGAAGGAGATACACACCAGTCATCAAGTCCAAAAACTTTTGAGTTATTCCACTCAGTATCAAATTAGTTGAGGCAGGCATATCATTTAAGGCTTGTGAACAGCGCTACGAGTAAACCGTCGCATGGAACGCAGATGGCAAGTCAACTGTTCCATTCTTCGGCGATGGATCGGAACCCCCAGGTCCGTCCTTGCCGCTTTGGGGCGATCAGTAGATCCGTGTTGAATTCTTCTAGTTTCTGAAAGCTTCTTGTTACTACTAGTAAGGCACTTGCTCCTAGTAGCGATGCACTTGTTTC